AGGAAATAGCACTTAAAGCAGCGACAAGTTTAGTACCTGTTTGAGCTAAGGTAACAGAGGGAGTGTTCTCACTTGGTCTTTCCTGAGAATACTTTTCTAGAATTCTTCGTAGGACAGAGAGATCTTCATTATTAAGCATGTCACCATCAGAGTTGTTTAACATGAACCCTTTCTTATCGCCTTTACTTCGTTACTTTAGATGGGCTGGTTTCCCATGAATTTCCCAACACGATTCCCTGGTGTGACCATTTTTGTTACAATGATCACATTTGAGATGCTTCTTCCCTTTTCTCTCTCCACCTTGGTTTCCACGTGCCACCATGGCTGAGGCTTCTGATCTTGAGGAAGGAAGAATAGAAGGAGTAGGTGAAGAATTCTGAATAAGTTCTTTACGACTTTCCTCATACCTGATCATATTGAATGCATCTTCCAGGGATGGGATGGGCTTCATGCCCATAATTCGTCCTTGAACATCTTCAAAATTATCATTCAACCCAAGCAAGAACTCATAGCAACGTTCGTGATCGACCACTTTGCGGAAATACACCTCGTCTGTATGGCAGGACCATTGGTGGATTTCATACAGATCGATTTGTTGCCAAAGCCTGATGAGAGCACTATAGTAGTGAGTAACGATTTTTTCCCCTTGTGTGAGACTATGAAGCATCCTTTTCACTTGAAATATAGCGGATGTATTCTCTTTGACAGAATATGTGCACCTGGCCGACTCTCAGATTTCCCGAGCAGAATTAGCAAGTAAATAGGTCTCACTAATTTCGGCTGTCATAGAGTGAACAAGCCAAGTCATCACTAAGTTGTTCTTGGCACACCATGTTTCATATTGAGGGTCACCAATAGCTGGCAGCTTGGGATTCCAGGTGAGGTATTTTTCTGTATTTTTTCCACGGATGAGCATTAGAATATTTCTGGACCACTGTAGATAATTGTTCCCATTTAGACGATGGGTTATCACAGCTTGAGAGAAGGAATCAGGTGCAGAACTTCCTCCTGAAGTCATGACAAGAATATTTGCACCCTGTGTACCTCCTCCCCTAGTCTCGGTCCTTGTTCTAGGGCCTTCCCCCAGCGCCGAGGATGATTGAAGAATCTCATCACTAGTGGCAAAAGCCCTAGGTTGACCGGAGAGCATTGCTTTGTACGACATAGAGAGATCGCTCTGATACCATGTGAGAATGCAGTGTGTAATCACTTATATTTCATCCATAGAACTGACTGGTACATATATGGAGGGAGAGGGAGATTGATACAATTGCATAAAATCCTCTCTCAATAAAATAAAATAAATAAGAGATACTAATCTGAATCCTAGAAAATAAAGTTGACCAAGATAATAATAATAAACAAGGAAACCCTAGAAATCATGGGCTTAAGGAATAAAAGCCCAATTCCAACATTTTGCTAGTTCACACACCTCACATTTGACATCATGATTAGTGGAACCAAGGTTGAGGAACAAACGAGATAGATAATGGAAATTAGGATAATCCATTCTCTTGTGCCATAACAGAATATCCATATTTTTAGAGGTTGATATAGAGTTACATACATTGGTGGCTTGTTGGGAACTCACGCCAACATCATCAAAGAAGTAAAGCCCCTCACATTCTGTAGCACGTCCAATCGTCTTCCCTGATGATAAATCCTGAAAGACACAATGGGTTGAAAGAAAATTAGCACAACACTTAAATTGCTTGGTTAATTGGCTAACAGATAATAGGTTGTATGCTAATTTTGGTACATGAAGAACAGACTCCAAAATGATAGATTTAGATATTCGAATACTCCCTTTCCCAGCAATAGGAGCAAGAGATCCATCAGCAATTTTGACTTTAAGGTTCTTAGCACATGGAACATAGATGTAGAATAATTGATGGCAATCAGTCATATGATTTGATGCTCTGGAATCAACAATCCATAGGGATTTGTTTCGAGAAGTTTTTAGGGCCTGAAGGAAACTACCCGTTTTGGCAACAAAGGCTGAGGATAGTGACTCGCATCCCACAATTACAGCAGCATGTGATGATTGGAGTACCTTTTGTCTCTTGAAAGGTGAAGAAACATTGGACATAAAATTGAGAATCACCAAACACACCACTCTGGATCCTTCCAATGGCTCATGATAGAAGCTTATGAGGATCCATAAAGATAACACATACATTGAACATAGACACCCACAGCAAGGAAGTTTGCGAATGATGCTCCCTAGGCTTGGGTAACGCGGGATCTTGCTGGAACTAGCTCGTTGTCGCCGAAAGAAGAAGCTATCGTCTGTCCAGATGGGTCACGTGCCTCCACGTTCAGCCTAGCGTTCATTGGTGCAAAAACTGCAGGAGGCACATGTGAGATCCACGCATCGCCGCCGGCCTCCATCTGCCTGGGTTCCGTCGATTGGATGCTGGTGAGTCTCCTTAGGTCAGTGGTGAGAGTCAAGAAACTTTCTAGCATCAATGGCCAGAGACACAATACTAGGGTTGCCATGTAAGACACTGCCGGAAACCCTAGACAAAATTTTTAGATCCTAATGCTTTGATACCATGTGGCACCATTTTGAGAGGGAAAATACCGTTTTCATTGATCCAGAAAATATGAGTTACAACTGGTATATATATCCACAAAGCTGAGAGACAGAATAATAAATACTAATAACTCCTAATAATCAACAATAATCCCTAATAATCAGGGTAGAATATTTACAATAAATTTATTATCACGACAATAACCATTTCAATTCAATGTTTACTATGATATGTGCACGTGGGCATGTGTTTCAAATCATATGATACACCCTATTAAGATCAATTGATATTGTTTTGTTGTCATGTTCATCTGATTATTCTCTAACATAAATAAATTTGCAAGAACTAATATAAATATATCTATTGGTGAAGACTTGTGGCTTTGGATATGATTATTAGTACTTAGTCTCAAGTTTTGGAACAGGGAAAGATGCTAAGGCAAATCCATTCCTTGGAAGTCCTAGAGTTATGATGATGTGTATGCCTATCTCATATGTTAGTTTTTCTCAAGTACCATTGTTAGTATCTCTTCAATGATCCACATAAGGTTCTCAACAATAATCGGTCCATAACTTTTACCTTAATTTTTAAAGCATGTTTTGTTTTTCCATTGAAGCTTAGATTATTTAATAAAATTAACAAATGACGCCATTGCTTCATAAATTGAAATAAACCACAACAATTGGTTACTAAATTTAACATTTCTCTAACATCATAGTGGACCAGATTGATATGTTAAATGAATGGTTAAAATATGTTTATGATAAAGAATTGCAAGAGAATATAAGTTCAAGCATTTGAGCCCGAAAAACAGAACTAAATGAGCAGTAAAACATATGTCTTCACTTGATGGTCCTAAATGTTGAGTTTGTTTGAAGCTAAAATTTGGCAGGTATTTAGAGGGCATATAGAAGTTTTATTTACCCAAATATGGTAATTTTTAGAACTCTAGAGAATATTTTATGAATTTTTGAATTCAGTTGAAAATGCTATCATTCAACAACTCTACATCTTTTATATCAGATTTGCTGTTTTATTGCTTTTTTAGACATAATTTTCTTCAATTACTTTGAAACTTTGACAGTCGATAGTAAATGAATATATCTTTCTAGAAAGTCCTAATTTGCTAATATTGGATATTCTTAGCTCAAGTTATGACCATACAAAGTTTAGGGTCAATTATGTTTCCACAATACACTGAAACCAGATGAAGAATGGTTAAGCTTTATTGGTCTTTAACTAACTATATTGGTCACTAATAAGATTATAAGTATCCGAAGTGAGTTGAAATGGCATTTGGTAGTCGATGGATGGAAAAGAGTAAGTGGATAGCACCTTGATTAATTTATAGGCTAATTCTATGTTATCAAATATTGTTAAATTTTCACGTGCATATTAATATGACTTCAATTTCTAATATTCACTATTTTGAAAGGAACTATTTTCATTTTATTTAACTTTTAAAGAAAATATAGAATTGTTTTATGATTGAGTATCTTTAATTATTTAACATACTGATACAGTTTGATTTATGGGTTAAGAAATGATTTATCAATGATTCATGCATGGGAGATTGTTGATGAATTGTTTTATGATGATTATGATGTGAAGAGACATTGATTTTTGGACCCATGCATGCCTAGTTTAAATTGTGGGACTAAATCAGAATACTAGTTAATGGTAGTTTCGTTAACCCTTGGTGCGTCATGGTTAAATCCTAGTTAGCTTGTTATTTGTGAGTATTGCACTCACACTTGTCATTCGTGAGCTTAACACTCACACTTGTTATTTGTGGGCTTTATGCCTATGCTCATTTTGTGGCTTTTTGCTGCACTTGTTTCATGGTTTTTTTGTTGCGCTTGTTTCATAGCTTCTAGCTGCGCTTGTTGGTTATATATCCTCATAGACTATACATCCATGCTTGTTAGTTATTTACTCTCATGATTGTGTATCTACGCTTGGCTTTGAATAGTTCTATTAAGTCCTACTAAAGAGTGAGTTTTAAAGCTTGTTTTTTTTTTATATTTGATCTTGTAAAGCAAACGATTATTTTTACCATATATGGATTTAGATGTGTGTGTGTGTTGAGCTACATAATTTCAATCACCTATATAAAGCTGCATAATTTCAATCTTTATTTGGATGCTTGCATATCTTGTTTGTTTAACATAACATTGATTGAGTTAATTGTTATGTCAAATTGTTACTTTTGTTAAATTCATTATTGTTTCATTAGTGTTCTTTCCTATAAGCTTTAAATTGGGATGCTATTCATTGTTAAGTATTCTTTTGATCTCAAGTATCTTGGCTAAAGTTGTACCTTCTACTAGCCATTGTGTGGCATTCGTATTACTTTGAAGTTAAGAAACTGGCAATTAAGCTTCTTTTAATGTAAATAATTGTAATTATAAATTATATTTTATGATCTTATTCTAGGTAACTCCGCCTATGTTTATAGCCGGTCCTAAGCCCGGGTAAAGGAGGAGGGTTGTGTTAGGCCATCAACAGCCAATGTAAAACTTTGTTGAATCTATCATGAACATGGACAATAGACGTTATAATGTTAATGCTAGGTCGTTGCCCGTAAGTAACGCGCTGCATGGCTCAAGTACAGTGATAAGTGAGTTAGAGCCGCTGCATCGGCGCTCGGATGTAGTGTTAAATGAGCAAGGGCTACCGCGTCATTCTGGATGCACGCGGCTAAAGAAGTTAGTCCATAAGAGCAAAATTAGATTTGGTACTTGGAATGTTGGGACATTAAATTGTAAATCTGTAGAGGTTGTAGGGGTTATGATTCAAAGGAAAATCAATATCCTTTGCCTGCAAGAAACAAAATGGCGTGGAGAAGAAGCTAAGGATATTCAAGGTTTCAAACTTTGGTATACAGGGAAAGTAAGTGCTCGCAATGGAGTAGGCATCATTATAGATAAGGAGTGGAAGAGGAACGTTGTAGAAGTTAGCAGAATTGGAGACAGAATTATTTTCTTAAAAATGATAATTGGACGTGAGACTGTTAATATTGTTAGCGCTTATGCGCCGCAAGTCGGGATAGAAGCCAGTCTTAAGGAATTATTTTGGGAGGATCTGGAGGGGTTGATTCGACACATACCACAGAATGAAAAGATTTTTATTGGAGGAGACTTTAATGGGCATGTCGGGAGGGAAGCTGGTCAGTATGCGAGGGTGCATGGTGGTTTTGGTTTTGGAGAGCTAAACAATGAAGGACAAACTCTTGTTGATTTCTCATTGGCGTATGATTTTAAGATTGCCAACACTTGTTTCAAGAAGAGAGATGAGCATCTCATCACTTACAAAAGTGGAGCCTCAAGGTCACAGATTGATTTTCTTTTGGTTAGGAACACAGATAGAAGACTTTGTAAAAATTGTAAGGTGATCCCCGGAGATGCTGTAACGACACAACATAGGGTCCTAGTCCTTGATGTGTGTATTATGAGTAAAATCCAAAAACGTCGACAAGTAGTAACACCAAGGATTAGGTGGTGGCAATTAAAAGGTGAGAAGCAAGATATTTTCAAGCGAAATCTTTTGGATAAAGGAATTTGGGAATCTCAGGGAAGTGCTAACATCATATGGGAGGATATGGCTAAAAAGATCTGGGAGGTTGCAAAAGTAGTTTTGGGAGAATCAAAAGGTTTGGTCCGAGAGATAAGGAGTCTTGGTGGTGGAATAATAGTGTACAGGACAAAATCAAGTATAAGAAGAACTGTTTTAAAGCCATACATTTGTGTAACAATGAGGAAAATTGGGAGAGGTACCGTATGGCTAAGAAAGAAACTAAGAGAGCTGTGGGTGAAGCTCGTTCTAAAGCTTTTGAAGAATTTTATAAGAACCTTGAGACGAAGGAAGGAGAGCAAAATATTTATAAGATTGCCAAGAGTAGGGAAAGAAAATCAAGAGATCTAGAACAGGTAGGATGTATTAAGGATGAAAAGGGAAGAATTTTAGTTACAGATGATGAAATTAAAAATAGATGGAAGACTTACTTTTCTAAACTCTTCAATGATGGAGAGGATTCATCTAGTAACTTGGAGGATTTAGTAACTGGTGAAGGAGAATAAAATTTGTCATTCTATCGAATAATACGTGATAAGGAGGTAAAGGAAGCTCTTAAGAAAATGGCAAATGGTAGAGCCAACGGACCTAATTGTATATCTATCGAAGCGTGGAAATGTTTAGGTGAAGAAGGGGTGAGATGGTTAACTAAGTTATTTAATGTGATTTTACGGTCCAAGAAAATGCCTGATGAGTGGAGGAGAAGTACATTAATTCCTATTTATAAAAATAAAGGAGATATTCAGAATTGTACTAATTATAGAGGGATTAAACTCATGAGCCACACAATGAAATTGTGGGAGAAAGTAATTGAGCACAGGTTGAGATTGGAGACAAGTATTTTTGAGAATCAATTTGGTTTTATGCCAGGTAGATCAACTACAGAGGCGATTTATCTACTAAGGGGATTAATGGAAAAGTATCGTTGTAAAGATAAAGATCTACACATGGTTTTTATTGATTTGGAAAAAGCTTATGACCGTATACCAAGAGAAGTGCTTTGGAAAGCATTAGAAAAAAAGGGAGTACGGATTGCTTATATTAAAGCCATAAAAGATATGTATGAGGGGGTAAAAACTAGTATAAGAACGCCTAGTGGTCAAACAAAAGATTTTCCTATAAAGATTGGACTACATCAGGGATCATCTCTGAGTCCTTATTTGTTCAACTTGATTTTAAATGTTTTGACAGAACATATTCAAGAGGAAATCCCGAAATGTATGCTCTTTGCGGATGATATAGTTTTTATAGCAGAGACAAGAGAAGAGGTTAATTGCAAACTTGAGTTATGGAGGAGGACATTGGAGTCGAAAGGTTTTCGTCTAGTAGAAGTAAGACGGAATATTTATATTGTAAATTTGGTAAAGGACTATTCGACAATAATTTGGAAGTGAAATTGGGAGATCAAATTATACCTCAAGTAGAAAAGTTTAGATATTTGGGAGCCATTATTCAAAATGATGGCGAAATCAGTGGAGATATTTCACATAGAATTCAAGCTGGGTGGTTTAATTGGAGAAAAGCTAAAGGAGTTATTTGTGACCGTAAGGTGCCTAATAAACTTAATGGAAAGTTTTATCGCACTGCTATCAGACCGGCAATGTTATATAGTAGTGAATGCTGGGCTCTAACGGGACAGCAAGAGCATAAAGTTGGAGTAGCAGAGATGAGAATGTTACGATGGATGTGCGGACATACACGTAAAGATAAAATTCGAAATGAGCACATACGCGAAAAAGTGAGGGTGGCACCTATTGAGGAAAAATGGTAGAAAATCGGTTGAGATGGTTTGGGCATGTACAACGAAGACCAAGGGAGGCACCAGTGAGAAGAGTGGAACATATAACTTTGAGTCCGATTAAGAGAGGTAGAGGAAGGCCTAAGAGAACACTCTTGGAAGTTGTTGAACGCGATCTCTTAATTAATAATATTCCTAAAAACTTGATAAACGATAGAGCACAATGGCGTCTTGCAATTCATGTAGTCGACCCCACCTAGTGGGATAAAGGCTTGTTGTTGTTGTTGTTTGATCTTATTCTAGGTGCTCCACATAAATTATAGTTAGAATCCTTGTTGTGGTTGAATAAATTGTCTGACTGCTAGTAGAAGTAGAGCTCCTTGTTGTTTGTACTGAAATTTTGTTGTGAAACTTTTGGAAGATCTTATTAATAGGAGAGGTTTTGTCAAAATTTCAACAAAATTATTAAATCTTTTGTAGTATGACTTGCATAGAAAGTGGTCTCCTCCTAGGCAAAATGTGTTCATGATTTAAAAATTTTCATTTCTGACATTAAGGCTTACAAGATATGAGCTTTTGTGCATATATTCCATGTTAGTCACATCCTATTTTCAGGGCGTGACATAGACTCACCAATCACTTCAATGATTCAAGCATGGGCTAATCTATGTACCAAGCGTGAATGATGTGTTTTGAAGCATCAAGCTTCTCTGTAACCCTATACACGCATGGGCATATTTTAATCCAAGCATGTTTGATGAAGATAGAAGCACCTCGCTTCTCTATAACTCTAAACGTGCGTGGGCACATTTTCACCCATGCGTGTATTAGAAGGCATTTCTTTACATAAATTAGAAAGGTTATAACTCACTCAATACACTTCCAAATCTGGCAAAATATATATCACTGGAAAGTTGTTGTAGTTTAGTTTTCAATAAAACAAGTTTCACACTTGAATGTAATTTTTGAGATAAGATCATAAGAGTGATCGATGGTCAAAATTGAACACCGTGCAAAATAAATATCTTAACACTCAAATGCTAAAATTCATATCTTTTTCAATAGAACTTCATTTTGAATAAACTAAAGACAATTGAAAAGCTTATGGACTCTACTTTCAAATGAGATTTATTTCACATTAAAAGGATTTACTTGGTGAGAGATATGACAAATAACATGACTAAAGGTCAAATTTAAATTTTTGCACAATTCACATTTCAAAGTTTGAATTTCAAGTGTTCATAACTTTTTAGACTTAACCCCATTTTAAGAAGTAGGATAACTTTGAAAATTTTATGAAGTTAGTAATCAAAACATTTTAAAGCTTGTGAAATATATATGATCAATGATGAAAAACATGATTATGGAACTTTTTCTCTTAATAACTAACATGCATGTTTTAATTTAAAATATCTTGAGTTAATATTATATATCTATTTTAATAAGTTTAACATAAAGGCTTTTAGCCTAATGATATCATACCTATCAAGTGTATGGCTTTTAAGGTTCATTCAAATTTATATGAATGCTTTCATTCTTCTTAAACTCTTTTTGGATCATCGTTTTCTTCATTTTTATGTTCTTCAATCTTAAGTGTAGCATGCAAATGATGACTTTGGTTTCTTCCTCTTAATGCTCACTCTCATCTTTACTTTGGATCATCTTAAATGATAAATCATGATAAAATGGTTAGTTCAAGTATCAATATGTATATAAGTATGAATATGATGGTTATGGTATTATGCATAGTAAAAGCTTTATATCCAATATATAAAAGATAATATATAAAAGATAATACTTTGAATACCTTTGGATATACAATTACTTTAAGATAAAGAAAAGTATGATAGTGTAAAATAATTTTTATGCACACAAATCACTTTTTACTTTAAACAATAAAGGTAAAAACACGTTAAAGTAATTGTTCTATAGTTACAGTTAACTATTGTATATATATGAAGCATTCTAATGCACATAGTTAACTAATCTATACTTGTCCTATATTTGTCATCATAAAAACTTAAACTAAACATAATATAAACCTTTATATGACACAATATGGATAGATAGTATTGAAGCAAGACAAAGTAAATCGATTAATTAAGTTGAAGAGGTTTAATTTCAGATTTGAGAATTTATATGATCAGTACTTGTGGTGAGAGTCAAGAATACTAGGTACCAATACTACTCTTCTTTATATGCATGTTTATTTTTCCTTGGATATATTTATACTTGCTTTGTTATTCTATTTTACGAAGGACATATGCTTATACGTGTATGAGTTACTGCTTTGAGTGTGATCGTGCAATATGTACAATGTTTGGGAATTTTATATATGTGTTGAGAATTTGTTGCCAACTGTTGTACTCTCTGCTTTGCCAATTGATGTTGAAAAGTTATATAAACTTATATGGATGTGCTTAAGTGATAATATGTATATATTGAATGATTGTGTTTGCTACTGAGATTTCTCCCTAAAATCTTACCACCTGATCACTTGCTATTTCAAGTGAAAAGTCCAAGTAAGAGGAAAGAGAAGAAGATTTCCAATATAATTAATGCAAAGTATTGAATGGAATGATAATTAATGAAATTGTGGCTAGTAGTATATGTTAACTAGATTGTATGTAATGCAAAGTTTAACAATTATTACTATCCTTAGATTGATCAGGAACGTGACATGCATATCTTAGGGAATATGCGTGTGAAACTGCTCAATGGCGAGCTTGTATGAGATATAAACATTTAGATAATTTTTATACATGTAAAGTACGTAAATATTGAATGATGAGTTTCTGAAGATTTTTTTATAATACTTAATATTTTTTTATTTTTCCTAGATAGGGGACGCATAAATCTTTACAAGAAAATAAAGATAAGCGTAGCTCATGATATGAATTATTCAATTAATGGCATAAAAAATTGAGCTTACCAATGGTAAAATAAAATAGTTTTTGTGGATGAATAAACGATGATATTGATTGGTATGCAAGATGAAAATCTATCCTATTATTTATCTTTAGAAAAATACTTTAGAAAATTGAAATGAGATGAGGATCAACGACAAACGATGTGTCTAAGATTTTATTTTAAATTTTCAATGTTACCTTGTGAATAGTTGACCCAAAATAACAAATATGATTTTCAAATATAGCATCTCCTACACTCTACTTGTACTTGGGAACAAATATGGTTAGCAAGTGTGTTTAAATTGGGGTGTGGCAGAACAAACACACCAGCATTCAAAGGAGGGAACATGACCATAAATGTTCATTACATACAGAAAATATGCTTAACGTTTGGGATTAACAAGATAGAAAATCTTTTTGTAGAAACAAGGTAGAGCTACCCTATTGCAGATATTGAAAGTGTAAGTCAATGAAGAATATACTTTAGGTCTTTCAAAATAAAATAGAAACTTCACAAACCCCTGTCTATCTCCCCTCGATATTAGAGATGGTTACTTTATTGATGGAACATGATCCATTTTTTGTAGTTTGCTCTTCTGCAAGAGACATGGTCTGCCTGAGAATGAATGCAGGTTGGTTTGGGAGAGGAATATCCATAATCTCACTATGAAGCATTGACATTACACAGGCCATTGTGGGCCTATCTTTTGCAAGTTCTTGCACGCACAAAAGCCCAATATGCATGCACTGCAATATGTCCTTGTAAAAGCTTGGATCATATATTTGTGGATCTATTAGAGGCATAACATTGTCATCTATCCATAATTTCCATGCCTAGAAACATTAACAAGTAAAAATGATAGATGTTTAACTTCAATGTTATATCAGGGCTTTAAAGCTTTTGCAAGAAAGAAAGGTGAAAATTGGAGAGGCTTACAAATCCTAAAAGTGTGAAACATTCTGCATCTTCATAAAAGCTGGTGTTTTTTCTTCCACTAATAATCTCCAGCAGCAAAACACCAAAGCTAAATACATCAGATTTCTCTGAATAGAGCCCTTCTGTTGCATATTCTGGAGAAATATAGCCACTGCATTTATAAACTATATCTTTGAGATTTCAATATGCTAATAATATAATTATCATAGACGAAGGGAAAGGAGCACTTACTATGTTCCAACAATTCTTTCTGTATTTGCTTGATTTTCACTACTTCTAAAAAGTTTAGCCATTCCAAAATCTGATATCTTTGGATTCATTTTCTCATCCAATAATATGTTACTTGCCTTTAAATCTCTATGTATAATTCGTAATCTTGAATCTCTGTGAAGATAGAGCAATCCTCTAGCTATTCCCTCGATTATAGTGAAGCGCTTTTCCCAATCTAAGGATTTTTGTTTTAATGGATCTGCAAAACATTGTTTGAGTAAGATGTGATGACAGTAGATGTTCATAAGAAGACACTTTACTCCCTTCCTACACTGTGATAATAGGTGGTGGTGTATTTGGTATGCGAGGTAATTACTTGTATCTTAACTATTTGTATTATGAAACCACTTTAATTGTTCATAGATTCCATTGAACTTGCACATCAAGAGGTACAAAATCTCACATGAACTTGTAGAATTTGGAAGCATTGCTACAAATGTCAACAGTGGTAGCATGAGGTAAAATAAAAGTTGAAGTACCATACTTGTATTTCTTTGAGTATTCTTAAGCAATTAAGTTTTCATTTTCTCCTTTATTCATCCTATGCAAAGCATAGAAACATCCATGTACTAAACTGTGATAGGCATGGGGACTGGGCACTAACCAAAGATATATGTATCCAAACTTCTGTTTGGCATGTATTCATAAACCAATATCTCTTCTTCAATGCAACATCCAAGAAGTCTAACAAGGTTTCGGTGTTGAAGCTTAGAGATCAACTCCACTTCATTTATAAATTCTTCCATACCCTGTCCGGATAATCTTGATAGTCTTTTTACAGCTATTTCCTGCCCATCTTCCAATGCCCCCTGTAATAAGATGATAAAGAACATTAATTATGAATTGAAAGATTATGAAGTTTAAAAAGACTGAAAATCACCTTGTAAACTGGACCAAAACCACCCTGTCCAAGTTTATTTGATATGTCAAAGTTATTTGTTGCAGTTTCCAACTTTCTCAAAGAAAACAATGATAGATCTGGGATATGGACTTGCTTCAGGGGCATCATCCTTGTTATGTCTGGAGTCTGTACCTGCATTTCACCTGCGTTTTACACAGTTTCCCCATTTTATTTCCTCAAAAAACATATATTGCTATTCTAATACTAGGCTCCAAGAGTTATGAGTTAACTATATGAAGTTCGCATATTCTGTATCAAAATGATGAAACTCATGTTCGAGGGATTATCTAAGATTACAAAGCTAAGATTGTATCCTATCTAAATAATAAAAAAGATCACTCATGCCTTGAATGAACACTTACAGTAAACTTGAAAATTACCTTTTTGGTTTGAGCATTTTTTCCATAGGAAATATCCAGACACTGTAATGAGAATTGGCCCTATAAAAACCGATATCATAATTGGCCATGTCATCTTCCTCTTGCCTATGCCTGTATCAAAGAAAAGAAACATTCAAAGAGCATTCATTTTATAACAATAACGCCATGACTTTACCATGTATATTGTCATCAACAGACAATGAAAAAATAAAAAATAAAAAAATAAAGCTCTCCAAGTATTTGTCGTAACACTTGTTTTGCGAGCAAGAGCCATGCTAGTTAACTCTTTTTGAAAGAAAATTGCTCCCACATTTTATAATACCTTCAACATTCAACTAGGATTTGGTTCAACTTTAACTTTCATCTAAGCACTATATACTTGTTGCGTGGCTGTTTACATGTCATGTCATGTTACATATCGTTGGGAGACATGTTGGACAGTAAACAAGTGTGTTGTAGGGTATTTTAGAAAGATTTCTCTGATTAAAATGGATACCTAGTTCTGAGTAGGCTAAACGTATGTAAACATCAATCTCTTCGCCTGGTAAGCTCTGTAAGTCGAGTAAATCTGCATACCAAATCATACAGCCAAGGTTTCTTTCATGAGCATAAGCGATACAAGAGCAATTCTTGAGGCATGCAGTTTGACAGTCTACGATAGCCTCAGAGAAAGAAGGTGACACTTGTGCATCATCTGGTAATTTCACTCTCTCCAGCCTCCAAAACCCATCTATTTTGCTAACTTGAGAATCATTTGTGTCTCTTTCACACTGAAGTGCTTCTCTTCTAACACACCCATTGGTCCATTTTTGCCTTTCCCATTCTTCTTTGTTCCTTGGTTCAAACCCTCTCAAGCAGCTGCAAATTGGGGAGGTCTGCAAATTACAAATCCCGAATGGACCACATTTGCCATAAGCATCACACTCTGAAGAACCAATCATCCTCATAAGTTCCAATCTATTTGTCTGGGAATTCGAAAGCCGTTGTTCTATTTTACCTTGAGGATTTAGGGTAAAAGTCACAAAATACTTGTATGAAAAATATAGTTCCACAGTCACATCGTCTTCTGTCACTTGAAACCCATCCTTATTGTTAATTGAATCTGTCCTTGGTACCCCAAGAAACTCTGCGCCATCCCAGGGACCAGTTCGAAAATAAGGATGATTTTCTTTCCACACAAATACTTCAGTTACATTACGGACTTCAAGACTGCAAGAAAATTCTCCATAAGATGGATCAGATGCACTTTTCCATGATGTAAGTTTCACTTGCTTACCTGTTCTTTTATTAGTACTGGCTTTCATGTATGGTAATAGTGTATTGCCAGGATGTTGGAAACTCTGCCATACGGATACTCCTGTAATTCCATCAGTAAGGACAAGGTTGCGAGAATCCAAGAGTTGAGCACTAGAGTTTGAGGCAACTTGTGAGACGTTTGTTGACCAAAGAACCTGTCTTTGACCATTCAAAACAACAAGATTGCCATTTTCTGATATTGTGAGAATCCCAGAAGAATCTGTTAGTGGGTTGTTTCTGTTAGCAACCCAAACAATAGAAGACTCGGACATGCACCAAATTCCCAGGTAGCGATTTGTAGAATTTTGAGGACTGAAGAATCCTAGTGTGAACATGTTATTACTTGAGCTTACTGTTTCAGGTTCTTGGATTGACACAGATGATGAAATGGAGTCCAAGGCACAGACCATACGTGTCGTAGAGAACAAACATATAAGGAAAGGACGCAGCAAGCGAGCTTTTTTACTGAATCCCATGACGAACATGATGATTATCTTTAATTGAGGAAGATAATGGGTTTCCTGAATGCTGTGAAGGATAACTATTATAGCATATTGTATTCTGAACTATTTAGTTTTTCTTAAACTGCCGCTTCCTTTGGGGAAGAAAGAAAACCTGCAACCATTTGGAATTTTCGTTGACGTAGTCGCCCAAGACTTCTCAATTTTTCTTAGCAGTATACAGCTGAATCTTCCTATTCATCAATCCTTGTCTTTTAAACAAGTTGTAAACAATAAAAGTTTGACGCATGTATTTCTCTGAAGTGTTGTCATTTTCTCAAATTTGTCTCTCCACAATAGAATTTTGACGCATGTATTCCTATGCAAAGCTGTCCTTTTCTCAAATTGTCTGCACAGGTTTGAAATTATTAGAAAATTTGAGTTTTGTTTTTTAATCACAGCCCAAAAAAAACTAAGGATTTACATTCTCTAAATTTAAGGGAATGTTTGATTTCTGCTTTTGAAAATTGTTTTGTTTTTAAAAACAAAAATAAATAAATAAAAAGTATCATTAAATAAATCTTCTAGATTTAAAGGTATTCAAAATGGATTTTTGCTTTTAGAAGCAAAAAACAAAAGCATCTTAAAAGTCTGTTTTTTCTATTTTTAAAACATACTATACTTGACTATTAAATTACATTTATCTATGGTTAACCACTACAATAGGCATTAATGCATTATCATCATATTTTTTTGGTTTAAAAAAGGAGAGACCCAACTGGAATATGATAGTTCCAATATGAATCTAACCAATGCCAAGAGTCTAGTGGATGATTCAGGTCATGTGAACCCAGCCCTATCATGGGGAGGGAAAAGGAGACTAGAAAGTCTGCACATTATTTCATTCCCAATAGATATGTTCAACCTCAACTTGTCACTCTCTATGTAGTAGAGAGTGGATTTACCTAATCAAAAGACTATTGGCATTCTCAGAATTAGTGTGATGGGTTTAAAAGATCCACAGCTTACAGTCAATTAATAGCTAGCTTAACTTTTCTAAAATACTGCCCCCACGTCGTGTCTAAACTGCATCAATCACAGCCCATGGTTCTGCTTATAGAGGGGTACATATATTAACTATAGGCAACCACCACTATCGAGCGTTTTTCAACTCTAAATTGTCAACAAGCCTAAAGATTCATGAATTTCTGTAATGTTTTTTTTAATATTTTCCTCATTTTATTATTTTTAAATTATAAATTCTACTTTCTCTTGCAAAATTCACAAAATTTACAGATTTTCAATTTCATAGCATTTATTTCCTAAAAATAATGTCCAAATTAAGGGGGAAAAACACTAAGAATTTTTATTTATATGTTTTCTCTTTTTAATATTTTTTTCAGTATGGAGTGGGCATCATATTTATATGTTCATTATTATTCTCAATCAAGGTGTATTATATATGTGTTCACTCGATTCCTCATTAAAAGAATTTACTGCATTTAGTATCTCACCATATGTCGAATATGTATTATTTATGATAGATGGTCACCTAATGCAATAAAAAAAATGAAGGTTGCATGTGGGAGGGAATATATTTATCGAAAAAGATGATTTTGTGAAATTAATGTTGAAAAATGAAATTCTGTCTAGTTGGTAGATTAATGAATCAAACGCTTTCTAGTGAAAGAAACTAGACTGTCACAAAGTAGTGACAAACTAAGATTTAAATTTCAACTAAAAAATATGCTCATATTTAATGTCTAATCGTGCCCCAAATGAATAAAATCATCTCCAAGTAAAAAGAGAATAATTGCAAGGAATTAAAAAAAAAATGAACCAAATGCTTTGCCCAAATTTTCAGAACTTAAGGGCTTGTTTGGTAATTTATTTTGAGAACAGTTTTAGTTCCCTTGTATAAAAAAAAAAAACAATTGTTTGGTAATGTAGTTTTAAAAACATTTTGAAGAACAAAAAAATAAAATATTTTGTTTGGTAATGTAGTTTTAAAAAACGTTTTGGAGAACAAAAAAAATAAAATATTGTTCTCATGAATAAAAAAACAGAAACATCTTTTAAGTATTTTAAAATTATTGTTATGAAGAATAAAAAGGATGAGAAAAACACTCATTTGTATTATTTTTTGTTTTTAAAATATGTTTTGCAGAATATTAGTTCTCAGAACAAAAAAAAAATATTTACTCCACATAATTGCTGGTATATATAAAAAAAAAAGAATGGTGCTCCAATCTTAATTGTTGTCCATGGCATGTATTTGTTTTAATTGATCTAAACATTATTTTTTTTGTTTATATATAGTTAACGAGTAGTTAAATTACCCAAAAACATATTACAGGTCATTGATTGATTTCCCGCCCGGGGGGGGGGGGGGGGACTACATGGATAGGAGAAGGCGAGAATTTCAATACAGGACCAGAGATGTGACATAATCTCAAATGTGGCCCATTAAAATCTGAAATTTCACTTTAGTCAAAGAGGATTGAAATGAAATTAATCTCAATGATTGAAAGACTCAAATACCCTCCATTTACTAAGACTGATAATGTAGACTTAAATTACTAAGTGAGAAGCAAGTCTTTAGATAGAGTTAACACTTTCCTTGCCGATTATCATTGATTTACTACTCCTCTGCAATTTACTCAGTGCAAAATTTTCTATTTTTCCCATAACACATTTTCTTTTTCCTGTTTTTGGTTTTCAGTGAAGAGATGATATATATCTACAGTATCTACTGCATCTACTGCCAAAAGAGAGAAAGAAAAACGAGGACATGATGTTTCTGAGTTTAGCCAAACTAGGGTTTCTGCTAGATTCAATCCCTTAGATGTATTGTCCGTGATCAGTGGTTAACATTATTGACGCAATCCATGTGTTTGACACATTCTCTGATTCTTGTATTTGAACAGTAAACCCACCATCAAAGCATAATGCAAGAATCCATCACTCAAAGGAAGAATTGAAAGAATCAAAGTAAACTAATGCGGTAGTGGTGGAATAATCATAGCATGTCACTATACCGTAATGACTTAAGTCTCGGAGCATAGATTATCTCTTTCCCCAGTTGATACAGGTTAACAGCTATGATGCATAAATACAGTATATATTCCATATGTTGATACTTATTCAATCATGTGTGTATGTGTGTGTGTATATGTATATGTATGATACATAAAACCATTAAAAATATAATTTCAATTAAGAGAATATCGAAATTAGCATTGTCATATAGTCCTTTAAAGTCATATCAAATAAAATATAGTCGTTACACCGTCAAAAAAGATATTTAGCATTCGTTCAAAATGCTACCAATTAGTAGCAATTTGCCAACCCACTACTATACAGATTAAAGCGTAGCGAGGTATATAGTAGCTGTTTTCCAAACTGCTACTACCTTATCCAGAATACTACAATATATACAGCGATTTGGACAAACTGCTATGCCCGAATCGAAATGAAGCCTGACCCAAAATTTTGTTCTCTAGTTTGAATTTGTTGGCGTGAAAATGGTAGCAGTTTATGGAACTGCTACAATATGTGAAAATTTTAGAAAGTCTGCCAATGTTGACTATGGTTCGAGTAGTCCCAGAAGACTGAAATGAAATTAACATCAATGATAATGTGGACTCAAGTTACTAGGCAAGAAACAAGTCTTCAGATAAAGTAAACACTTTCTTTGCCCACTATTATGGACTTGTTACTTAATCCCCTGAGTCCCATTACTAAAAAAAATGGATTAAAAAAATAAAAATAAAAATAAATTAAATTACTATTCTTTCATGGTAAGTATAATAAAAATTATTAATATATACTATAAATGTAGGAATCATCACACCTTTTAAAAATCTCATGAATTATAATTTCAAACTTTGTAAACTAAATTATCTTTTTCCTTTATGAACATGTTCACCTATCTCCTTTGATTATGTTATTTTTCCCTTTATAATCTTTCCTCCGCATTTATCATGTACAATATTTTTGTGACAATACAGGGAAATAGATTAATCCACACAATAAACTAATGATAACAAAACGGAATCTTTAGAGTGGCAGACTTGAAAGAATCAGAGTAAACTAATGTGATGGTGGTGGAATAGTCAGATACAATGCATATTCAATATGTTGATAATTGTGTGTGTGTGTATTTATATATGCACGTATTGGATTAATTAGTATGGTGTCTTAAATTTTGAAAAAAAGAAATTGTCAACGTATTGAATACGTATTGTATCTATGCATCAAAGGTAATGAAACAAAATATAGATGAGCTTTCTGCCCAAAAAATAACTATTTAGCCCTTTGCATGTACACTGCTTATAGAAATATTTATTATTGGTATCATTATTTATTTTTATATAAATTGTATAAATTATTCTGAAATCAATCAATATGTATTTAAATTATCAAGGGCTGCGCTTCTCATGTGGCTACTATGAATAGAGCAGATTGACTTTTAATATTGAGTCCACCTGAGATTTGGTTTTAATGAATTTATTAAACAAATGATGAGCAAAAATAATTAAGGCCTGTTTGGTTTTGTTCTCATTTTTTTTTTTTAAAAACTGTTTTATAATATATATTTTTTAAATTAAAAAAAAAATAAAATGAAATCCGCCTGGTTATATCAATTAAAAAACAGTTTTAAAATTAAAAAATTAACTGATAGTAATGGTTTTAGGTAATTAATAGTGGGAATTAATAGTAGAAATTGGTGAAAGTAACTATAATTTCTAATAATCAAATTTATTGTATTTTAAAAATAAGAAAAATAAAACAAAAAAACAACTTAAAGTTGTTTTTATTTTTTATTTTTAAAAATAAAAATAGTTTAAAAATAATTAAATGAAAAATACTTATCTAAACAAGTTTTAAAATTTGTCTATTTTTAAAAATATAAAATAATTTTTAAAAATAGAAAACACAAGTCCTTACATTATATATATATTTTTTTAATTTGGGATTTGAACTTCCACTTACAGCTTACGTCACTGAAATTGCCGCCTTATCAATTATCATAAATATGGGATCAGATAAATAGCTTGGGAAAACTTTCATCGAATTCTTTGTTGACTATAATATTTATATGAGAAAATAGCTCTTCAATGTTCGACAATGCGCCTATTCGACTCTCCATTATCAAAACTAACATTTACTCTCCCGTGCGATACACGAAAAACATTTCATTACATGTAATATTTTTAAAGTATTATTTTTAATTTTTGTAAGAGATGTTTTATATTATATAAAAAAGGAAAAAGAAAACATCAACTTTTTAAAATTTATATAACATAATTATAGCGCAATCAATGTATGCAATAATAATAATAATGATAATAATAATATTTGTGATTTTATTCAATAAGCAATAAACATGACAATAACTAAATTCTTTGATTTGTTACCATTTTTAGTTTACTCAGGACATTCTGTAATACCTAAATTATGCAAAAACAACTAAAAAAATCTTAGCATTTACTCCCCATACGGGAACCTATATTTTCTGATGTTATAATGAAACATATTATATTACTTTTATATTCAAAAACAATTAAAAGTTTCATAATATATGAAAGAAATTGGTGTAGTCAATGCCATTTTAATGTTTTAGGCCCATAAAGATGAAATATAGCCTAAACGTTATATGACTATAACATATGTAATCCATTTTAAGTAGTAAACAAAGATAAGGCACATCATTCTGAAATATGGCCCATGTTTGTTTAATAGCATGATAAATGAAGATATCCAATTTAATATTTACACTTAATTGGGTTAATTCATTCTACATGGTTCCCACATAGGTAAGAATTTTATATACTGTAACGTACAAGCAACATTCATGATAACATTTAACATGATGAATTAATTATATCATGCCGTATACAATTTTCCCAATACAATGTCAAATAATATCCAATAGCATTAACTATTATTAAAAAAATTCATCAATCAAGATAACCTGTTGAATAATTAAATTGGAGAAACTCAAGAAAAGATTCGAATCATTCTAACTGCATGAAGTTCGCTAGATGTCCAAGCCGCATGATAACACTTGCATAAATTCTTATTGACACAATTTAGGCACACTTCCTTTTGACATTTATAAAAGTGAACACAAGAGGATAAGCAATTATTTGACCCCCAAATCTTTAACCTACTTGTCCACACTTGCATCTTATACACGTGTAAGTGTACTCTAACCAAAAAATAAAATAAAATTACATGTAAGTGTACTTAGTCCACACACGCTTTCCTATCACCCATGTATGTGAAAATTGTAAAAAAACAAAAAACAAAACAAAAGCGCACACACAATACTTCCTTTTGGACAATTATGCCAGGTTTTTGCAGCAAAAAAGCCATCATTATAAACTATTCTTTTTCTTTAACTTCTTTCAAATTATCTCCCCGTTTAATGCAGTTCAGAAGACAATAAAAACTAATGTTACTTTTTCTTATGTCAGATGACACCACCTGCTTTTATCAAAATGGGTCTGCCCTTTGTTGATCAGCTGATTATAATCAATATTATCACATTGAAAATGATAAAATACAAGGGTCTCAAGACTTGCAAATCAAAGGCAATATGCTGCGATCCATCATTATGATTTAGTTTAGCTTTATTAGAGCGCGCGTGTGTATTTGCAACAAAATTAAATATATTTGCAACTGAAAAGATTAAGTTAAATATGTCAATTATAACAATAAATACTGCGAACGAATTAACCTCCACAAGCTAATCAAACAGAATTGCCCAGATTGACATCTTGCTGCAACTTCTCCATGTGTCTAGGTGAGGTCTTCTTTCAAGTTGGATTACCAACAATTAACGTCAGTTAACTGAATCTTCTCATAAACTCCAAACTCCAAAATCCTTTGGCTCTTGATCAATCTTTACAATGATCTCAGCTAAGTTTCACAGCCATATGAAGAGATCAACCAATTCTTGCATAACTTTTCTTAGTCACTCTAACTAAACTTCCATTGTCCACGCCACAAAATCAATGCTCTAAAATTTCATTACCAGTTGCTCCCTTAAACTAACTCTATCTGCTCACATATTCCCTCTTCAGAGTACAATATATTAATTTGATTCCATACCTAAAATTTGTTGAAGGGTCCTCACCTTGCCATCCTATTTCCTTCTGAAGCTCTTATTTAAGAGCAAGAAGCTCCCTGTCAGCCATTTTCTACAATTATTTAAGTGCATCCTGCAACTCAAAAACTTTGAATTATTTTTAATACATATAACAAAGTAACTATTGACCATTATGTTTTCCTAAGCATAATAAAGATGAATTAAAAAATTCAGATGACAAATTATAATTCTTTCAAGTGCAAAAGTTAGATAAACTCAATAAACATAAGCCATAAGTGCAACTTACTGAAATCTATAAGATGTATATGCTTATGCTTAAATCTACCTCAAATACATATACATTTTGTTCATATTTCCTTGAGGAGAAAAAGTGAAGAGAAACGTGTATTTAGTGATCAAGTTATGTAATGATCAAATACATACATATTTTGTTCACATTTCCTTCAGGAAAAAAATAGTGAAGAGGAAAACATATCTACTTAGTGATCAGGTGAAGAGAAATCTATATGAGGTATATGCTTAAGTTTAATGAGTCTATCTCAAATACATATAAATTTTGTGCATATAAAACAGAAGGTTCTTCCTTCAGGGGGAAAAAAATATTAAAACTGCAAAGAGAAACTAATTACATGGGGCTTGGTTTCCGGAAAAAGTTTTTATTTTGATTCTATGTGTAATCCTCTACAAGTAAGGATTGATATGTAGTACCACACGGAATGTGAGCGGCATAGTAGTTGATTCACCTTGCAATTTTCCTCCACTTAATTCCTGCAAGGAAATATTAAGGGACAACTAATTATCACTGGTGAAGTTTCAGGTTACCTCGCCATTAGTTTAAAATATGTCATATGGAAAAGGAATTATGTGATGCCTCATTTCCAGATCAGTTAATGTTAAAATATAAAACTATGCTTACATTCTGAAAGTAAAAATATTTTTTTTAATGAAGAAATGGTCCTTTTTTCTCAAAGCCAATTGAGCCACCTTCCTCCTTTCAATATTTACATTTTTCTAATCTCTATCCTGTTCTTCTGTGATCTTGTAATGAACTAACTTGCACTATATGCATGTGAGACTTCCCTAAGCACATTAATTGATGAGAACATTAAGAGTTAGAGGTACCTTTATCTAAAGCTGCAAACATTGCTCAGAACGCTTAAACTAAGAATTGAAAAAGCATGAACAGGGCAGTGAGATTTGAATCCTAGGAGGATGTCTTATACTCCACTTACCTTTTCTTCTAATAACCTTTTTATTTTTATCCAAAAAGCAAATGAAGTTCTGCATTTATGTTAGGCTGACCAGATTCTACTTTATTCCTATTTTGCTCTTAAAATTGGAATAGACGTACCTTTGTTGGGCCAAACCAGATGAGACACGTTATCTTCAATGTCCTTGTTATCATGCAAGTTTGATAGTTCTTAATTTTCATATTTTAAGGATCTACCAACTCAACAATTTTTTTCTAAAAACTAACCACTTGGAATGAGAAGTAAATGATAATAGCTAGACCCTTAAAACCTCATATCTTTGGTAAGAGGTGTCATATAAGGTAGCAAAATGAAGGGCCTACTTAACAATCACAGACAGAAACAACCTGAGAAGAATAATATCCATGCAATGTAATTGGAAAAGCGGGGGAATAAAACCTGGTCTGCTACATCACTTGCAGCTTCTGAGTAAGTTCTGCAATCTTCTTGAGCTTGGCTGCAATGTAATTGGAAAAGTAGGTGAATGAACCTTATCCGGTGAAGCAAGGCTATAAATATATAAATATCCATGGATTATTTAACCAAGATAATTAATGGTCTTCCTTTCGAAATTGAGACTCTTATTTTTAAATATCATCAAGAGTCATTAACATTTATCGTCATATTAAAAATAAAATTCTTACAAATACCACTGCCCTGCCCTCTCAAACACTTCTGACCAACCTTGAGAACATTCCTGACATCCCCCTAAAGAACCAAGAAACCATGCCAAGCATAAATTGAGAAAGATACAATAACTAATGCCAAGCACAAATAAATAATGCAGAAGATACATCCCTTTCTCATCATAGCTGATGCAGAGACCACTTACCTCTATGATGGTAAAGATACAATAACTAATGCGAAGCCATCAAATGATTTGAGAGATAACCATCTGAAGGATAGTAAGAGAAGCACAAGAAACCAGAGGATATGGCTTACAGTTTAAAGTCCCTTTCTCTACGATTTGGGTCACCACCGACCGTCTCTCTCTGCTCCATAACTTCCTTCATGCCAACTCTTCATATTTTTTTTTTTTAATAAAACCATCTACCTGATTACTCCCCCTCTATCATATCTAGGCCTCTCCTTTAAGTAGTTGAAGGGAGCGAGGATCTCCAGCCTCCACTTCATGCATTAGCTTGCTTATTTGATGACCTCTGCCCTGAATCATCAGACTTCTATCTCCTTTTGTGCGACTCTATCTGCGATTTCGTTCTCCTATGCGACTGCGATGTTCCAGCTCACGATGATCGCGACATAACAACCACGATATGAATAAGGCAGATAGAGATGAACAGATACAGAGAAAGAGCAGAGATGCCTTGAGGAAGGAAAAAAGAAAAAAAAGCACGGTCTTTTTCATCCTGCTTAGACAATGCTTCTACCTTGTTAAGCTTCATATTACTTTTTTTTTTTTTCCGTGTTGTCTGAAAGTAGTCATGAAAATGGAAACGTATCAGGGCTTTTTGGATAATGTGTTATTTTTAAAATTAGACGCATTTCATTTTTTTTATTTTTTAATGAGTGAATTTTATCCTAATGCATAATTAATTAGTAATAATAATGTTTATCAATTTTCAATTTTGAAAGAGATGAAAGAAGATTAAGAAATAATAATATCTAAAAATTTTATAAGGTTATATTTTTGATTTAGTTTTTTAAAAAACTGTTATTAAAATAAAAAAATATTTTTTTTATTTTGTAACAATTTTTTATTTTTAAATTTTATTTATGAAGATGCTTAACTTTTCTTTTTTTTTTTCCTTTTTTTTTTTAAAACAACTGAAAGTTTTAGATTAAATTAAATGAACAAATTTCATGATGAAAAAAAAATTGATAACTACTAATTATTTAACCTTTGAGAAGGGATAAAAATAAGATGGAGAAAATAGAATTGATTAAAAAAATTAGCTTTATCATAATTTATGATGAGATTTAAATTTTGGAGCAGCTCTCAAATAGACAACATAGATTAAAAAAGAAAAACAAAAACAAAAAGCATGATGTTAAGCCTACCTGCACAAAGCCCAAAAGAAGCCATCAATTTTAACAAGCTATGTGGCTTAAATGGTTTTATTGTAATAATCTAAAAATTTTAAACAAAATAAAAAAATATATATTATTGTGGTTGAATTGTAATTATATTAATGTTGGGACAATTATGATAAGAGGAGGTGTTGGTATAGTGAAAGTATACATATAACTCTTACATTTAGCTTAAGTTCAGCTTAAGTTCGAACTTGGTTGAAGCCAGGAAAGAGTAAATTATTTTTTTTACTTTTGTATTGTGAAATTATGAAATTACCCTTGCCTTCACAGATTTTTTTTTTTTTCTTTTTCTCTCTATGTCTGGCACGATTCAGCATTTTGGGCTCTGTTGAAAATTCTAGATTCTCTCATCTCTCCCCTTCTACCTTCTCCGTCTCCTCCTACTTCCGTCCGCAGCGTCACTGGCGTGAGAGTAGGCGAGAGTTCCGTCCGATGCTTCTCTGCCAAGTTTGTGCTCTTTCTTTTTCCTTCTCTATTTCAGATCAGCGAGGTCGTTCTTTTTCCTCTGCCATCTCCAGACCTCTGATCTTTCTTCTTCATCCTTTGCTACCGTCGACGAGAGAGACGAGTTGCTGTGAGGTCGCTCTCGCTGTGCGATACCCAGGTTCTTCATCTTTCTTCTCTGTCTCTGTTTGTCTTCTCCATTGTTGCTCTGTTTTGCTGTTCTCATGCGCGTAGCTGGTGTGCGTGAGAGTCATGTTGCCAGCGCTGCAAACGTGGGTTGTGATCATCCACTGTTAGTAGTCCCAGTCGTGAATCCATAGTTCTTCACTCTGCCGTCGATCTCTGCGCTGCTCTTCACTGTTTGTACTGTTGAAGTTTCTTCTTCTTCCTTCATCCTTCCCATTCGTAAGTGATAAATGAATGAAGGGTTGGTGTGATGCTATGGGAGGATTGATTCTTGGGTAGGACGCTAGTTTAATGTTGTTATTTTGTTCCCCGGTGCAGTTGTGGTTGCATTTTCTTCTGCCCATTTGTGTTGCGTTGGTGCATCTAAAGGGAGCAACTTTGATGTTTTTTTTTCCTTTTCTTTATTGAATCTGTGAGTGTGTGAGGTTATAGAGTTAAATGGAAAAATTTTTCTTTTGTGTTTTGTTGATACTCATGGCTATTTGTTCAAATATGAAGGGGAGGCTTGAATCAGGGGAAAAAAAGAAATGAAAAGAAATGAAAAGGATGATGTAAATTTGAGATTCAATTAAATTTGATCTGATTATTAGCTATAATACTGACCTTGTGAAATCTTTGAAAGTGAAATTGATGAGGAAGAATGTGGTATTTGTTTAAGTTATAATGTCATAAAGTGTTTGATTAAATGCCCATTAGAAAAAGTTTATTTGAAATTATAATTATTAAAAATTTCATTAAATTATTTGGAAGATATAATTGGTTGGAATACTATTATTTTATGAGTTTAGTTTGAAATTTACAAAAGGAGATATTTGAGTGGGTATTTTTCTATAATTTTATTGAATCTTACAAGAAATATGAATTAGCTTCAGTATTGCTCATTTGTGAATTTGAATCAAATATTGTGAAGAAATTTATTTATGTTATTGAGAGATTAAGTAAATTCTTGAAATTTTTATGGTTATTAATTTATAAAGTGAAGTGTTGTCTTATGATTTAATCTTGGAATTGAATTAGAACTGAAAAGAAATTTTTATAATTATAAAAATTTAATTAAATTGCATTATCTTATATTCTTATAGGGGGTTTGGAAGAAGAAGATTTTGGTAGGAATTAAAAGGGAGAAAATCTTTGAAAATTTGGGAATACTACAGGTAAGTGGATAACGTCTCAATCAATATATATTGAAAATTTTTCTTTATCAAAAGATCATTTTTAATAATTTATGGATATTTAAAAATTTCTCTTGCTTTAGCTACTTTTATTAATTAAATTGCTCTGCTTCTTGAAGTCATGACTTATACTTTTTATATTAATGAAAATACTTTCTTAAATTCTAATAGTGCTTTATTTGATAAAGTCAATTATAAAAAATTGTGAACAGTTTATGAGATATAAATTGTGAATTTTTATATTTAGAAATATTTGTGCTTTTATATGTTTTATGCGAGTTAGATTTTAAAAGAGAAATGGTATTTTGAAAGTGATGATTTTCTCGCATGTCTGAAAGTGAATTTAAAAAGGGGACTGTATACAAAACACTGGTTGCTAACGGCAGTTTCGTTAGCCCTTAGCGCGACATGGTCAATTACTAGCTAGTTTGAATTTCGTGAGTTTTGTTCTCACGTCTGTTATTCGTGGGTCTTGTACTTGCGTCTGTTTTCATGACTTTGACCACGTCTGGTTAGTTACTCTCGTGACTATGTGTCCACGTCTGTTTCGTGGCTTCGGCTGCATCTGGTTACTTACCCTTGTGGACTCTGTGTCCACGTTTGTTTTCGTGGCATAAACCGCGTTTGGTGATTTATCCTCGTAGACTGTGTGTCCACGTTTGTTACTTGTTCTGATAAGTCCCTATATTTATGAGTTTTTAAATTTTTATGGATCTGTTTTCATTGGTTTTGATTAATGACATGTTTACAATTATTTATTGCAATTATTTGCTTTATTAAAGTTAAATAAGAATGACATTTAATAAGATACTTTAATGAATTATGATTTTATTTAAAGTTACATAGAATCCTTTTATTTTGAATTTATTTAAATCTTCATGGAGATCATTATGTTTTTAATTTTTTTAATTCATGTTTAATTATTTATTATTGGGACATTATTCACTGAAAAATAATTTTTAGTCTCAGATAGTGTAGCTGATGCTGAATCACCCACTGAACATTAAGGAATTTGTGATTGATTAGAAGCGGAAGAGCTAAGGATTAAACTTTTTCTTGACGTAAAGTTTTAATTATAAAATTTTATTTTGTAAACTTATTGTTAGGTGCTCCACATAGTTTGTGGTCAAGTTGTTTATGTGGTTATATATTTTGTCTGTCAGCTAGAAGGAGCTCTACTCTTGATTGGCTTGATATTTTTGATGGAAATATTGTCTTGTAGAATTTTTGGGAGATCTTATTTATAGGGGAGATTCTGTCGAAATTTTTACAAAAAAAAAATTTGAGACTTTTATTACCAAAATATTTACGTATGTTCTAATTCAAACTAAAACATAATTATCTTTTAGTTATGAAAATATTATCCAATCCGAGGCTTAAGGAATGCGTGATGGATCACATCCTTTGCCGGTCACCTTTTATTTTTGGAGTGTGACATTTATGAACAGTAACTTTGTGAGAGGATCCACAATTCTTGCAATGGCTTGGTGAATCTACTTTCTAAGACATATTGATGATTCTCGGTGCCTTAAATTCTTTTCTTTAATCTTATTCAAAAAAAAAAAATTCCTTCTCTCTAAACTATTTGATATATTAGTGAAGAGCACTCTGCGCTATATTCTTTGTTTCATTACCCTTATCATTTTGATGCATAAATACAATACGTATTCAATACATTGATAATTTCATTTTTTTAAAAATATGTAAGATACGATACTAATTAATCCAGTATGTGCGCGCACGCACACATACATATAGCCAACATCTCAAATTGATCTTGTGTCAACCAAACCTCACTGAGCAGGACCCTAGACAATCCAAACTTAGACCTTATAGGCTATTTATTGTGCTTTTCCCTCCATTCATCGGAGCGCCATTGTAATTACTCTTCAGTAATGCAATCTCATCTCATATGCATTCTAGAGTATCTTAGTTCTTTTATTTAAGCTTTAGCACTTCAAGAAAATTGTAGTCAAGAACTTTAGGAATTCACAATCGTTTGATACACTCCTCACATTAATGAGGTTTACTTATATGGCATGCTCGGCAACTATTAAGGGGCACGTCCGCATCCGAATCCAAAAGCCGCACCAACACAAGATTTTGTTCATATTGCTGTCAGTAGTTCTGCCTGGCTCTTCATCTATCAAAAACAATTCAAGCAGTTTACATTAGCTTATTTTGGGAGAATATCCATTCAATGTTGCATGGTCTATTCAATTATCTTATTAATAGATCTGAGATGGTGACGCGCAAATTATTTGACCAAATTAAGCATGAAAGCTCCAAGAAACATTATCTAATATTGAATTATTGATCAATGCGTATATTTAGATTCAATGCAGTAGATAATATTATAATATAGCAGTAGCTAGCTTCTATTATTTATCTACAAACAAATTTTCAATGAAGTGCAATGACCTTTATAAATTTATTATTGGTTACAGTAATAATGCTTCAATTGGATTAACCGAGTAAATCAAATCAAACTTTTGGCCCAAAAAAAAAAAATCAAACTTATTGTTTGGATATGATTTTTTTAAGGAATCTTTTTTCGTGCGTTCAGAGTTACTATTTACTCTCGACAGCTTCTTTAGAAGATTGGAAAATGGTCCCAGTTCAAGAAAATAACTAATCAATTAATGAGAAGATTCAAAACTTGTGTGGTCATTGACAGTTAAGTATTATTCGACCAAGGAACTTCATCAGTTACGTTCCAGATTATTGGAGTAGAATTTTTGTGTTTGGATTAATAAAGATTTGCATTTGGATTTAAATCAAATCCCTCATTTGAATGAACAAAATTTTTGTGAATTTGAATTTAATTCAAGTGTAAATCATCATTCAAAATTCTAATAACGTAAAACATCTCGTTCTCTATACTTTTTTATTATTGATATAACTATGACTTCCATATTTCCTCATCACTTGTCAGTTAAAAAATATAGATGAACTCATCATTTCCAATTTTCTATTTTTGTTTCAAATCCCAACTATTTCTCTTTTCCATTATTTGAAATTTTTTTAAACCATCGAAATAAAATATTTTAAATATATGAATTGCAATTGTGAAAATTGAAATGCAAGATTTTAAATCTAAAATCCAAATACATTAATTCAAATGCGCTACCTTGTTGTATTCAAGACTTGACTATTAAATAAAATTGCATCTCTTTTCTTTCTCTTTTTCCTTTCTCTTCCTTTTCTCATTCCACTTTCATGCTTAACATCAATTAGTATAAGAGTTAGGTTTTGATTTCCCTTCCTTGTATTGCTTTTGCATTTGAGGTACCTAAACTACCCCAAATCAAAACAAGGCATAGACCAAACTTTAAATTCAATGTCATTGCCAGCCTCTAACACCCCTTTTTCAACATCTGCTCAACACGCAACCACAATTGTTGTGTTTGTCTTGGTGCAATCAAGTAGAGAACCAAATCCCCCCCCATACACCAGCCAAAGTTACTAGTCATGAATCTCATGTGCCTCATGTACATTGTAACATCCAATAATTTAATCAAGATTACTTAAGCTAATTGAGGGTCAAATAGTAATTTGAGGACTAATTATTGTAGAGGGTGATTAGTGAATGACTAATGGGTTCCTTAGATCCTTGGAGAGGTTTTGAATTTGACCTAGGAGAGTAATGAGCCCATTGAGCATGGTAGTGTGAGCTGAAATTCAAGTTTGGCTCATTGTACCATTCACCATGATGGATGCACCATATGTAAATTAAAGTCCAATTGACTTTATTCATATAAAACCACACAATCAAACATACAAAGGCAAACAAGAGACTTAAACCCTTAAACTTGCCTATATCAAAGAAAGTTAAATTAAACTGAGTTAAGAATCATTTGCCAACCAATTAGAACCTTAAGAAAAGCTTTGAAATTTTGATAGTTTGAACTCAAACTGAAAGAGATATAAAA